GTTCCCACAATTATATGAGTAGGCCCCGTGTTCCCATTGTAATAGGATGAATAGATCTTATATATGATCTCGAAAAACTACTAACAATACGAAAAATAAATAATTTAGTTGATTGGTATAGCAAATATAACTTGACTATGAAGAGAAGCTAAGTTTCAAAGAATCCCTTAGTAGACTTATACTGGCATAACACTCATTTCGTTTGAGAAGGCAGGTGGAAGGGATTCGTAGATTAGCCTCACCGGATACCAAAGGAAGGCTTCCCTGGATTTGATATTGAAGTACATCTCATTTCGTTTGAAGAGACAGGTAGAAGGGGTTCGTAAGATGGTCACACCGGAAGCTGTAAAGGGATTGCCTTGGGGCCGTCACTTTAGATACGTACGAATAAGTTCTCGACAAACCGCCCTACTACCCCGATGAATCTCTGTGGAGCTTTCATCAGTGATGTGATGGACATCGTCAAAGCAGGGTACCAGGCTTGACGACACATGAAGACAAGAAAGGTTGCTGGCTTCGAATCTGCCTACTTCTTATGGTCCAACTTGGTCCACTTAATGAGGCATCTCATGATTTGGTTGAAGATCCTATGCTTTGCTGTCGGGTTTCGAGGAATCCCTGCCTTCATCATTGTTGGGCTTACCTCCATTTCGAATAAGAGTGTTAGGTGAAGAGATTCGATGGTCGATTCCACCAGAAGACGACGGCGGATTCCTCTTGACTGCTGTCGATTTGCTTTACTGAAGCATTCATGTTGACGCTGTCTCCGAGGAAATCTCCTTTGATTCCGGTGAAATCGTGCTAAGCTTTTGTCCGTCATATGACAGATATCATCAGAGCCAAGGTATCATCCTTACAACCAAATTCAAGCTGAGTCAAGACTAATTTACTTATTTATCCTTCACAAGTAGGTTTTTGAGACCACCAGTAAGTCAGTTATATGAGATGTATTCAGCCTATTTCATTTAAGGTGATGGAGGACTTATTAACAAAAAATAAGTAATTAAGTCGATTTTCATGGCAAATATAACTTTGCTTCATCGACAACCCCACCGAAAGATGTGATATGGGAGAATGCCCGGCCTTCCTGAAAATTCACATCTGCCCTGTAACCCAAGGGCACTCGTGACAATATGGCATAGTGGTTAACGTGTCGAGGTTACATGCTGCACTGTCATGGTTCGACCCCAGCTGGGGGTGTTGATAAGATCTGGGCAAGTTCAAAGCTGTAGTTCATTCCAGTCGGGATGATAATACCTTTTAGGAAAGAAAGGATACGTGAAATTCGATGGAAACGTCAGCTCATTTATATCATTGCGGGAAACTTCAACTACCCGTGCTTCATCAACTTAAACGAAATGGGGTTAATACACCTCTTATAAATGATTTACTTGTACTCTCGAAACCCTATTTATGAATGACAAATAAGAAGGTTTTAACCATATCTGTCGAGCTGAGAAAAAGTCGAGTTATTCGGAGGAGCTTAAGTCTAAAGAAACACATATTGTCCTTAAAAAATAAGGGACTGAGATAAGATAAAAGCTGGTGAAAAGCATGTTGAGGATTGATTAAATGTAGCATAAAATGCAATAGTGGCCTGCGTTCACTATTGTAATAATGCATTATAGATGGATGCAAAGAAGGGTTAAGAAGACTAAGCAGGACACAACGTATGGTGGTATAATACTTTAATAAAATTAGATAATGAGATCAGCTAACTGACCTGCACTTTTCAGAAGGACTTTTGTTCTGATGCTTCTGCCTCACTAGAGCTTGAGACAAATGAGTTGGACGCACCATCAAGTCCATATTCAATGTTATTTCAGCTCTCTCCAAATCAGCCGTCATCATAGACAAACGATCAGAAAGCTCGCGCAACTGGTCTTCAGCTTTATCTGATTTAGTGACTATTGCCGAGAGGAGGCGGTCCAATGCCGGAGACAACCAGCTGTGTAAATAAGATTGGTGTCCTGGAGAAAGGGCACTGGGTTTGACAGATTTTTCCTTTGCCTCCTTCGTGCATTCACTGTCAAGGACGAGATATGAGAAGTCACGCAGACGCATATTAGCCAGACCAGAACAGAGACTAGCAGGAATGTCAAAGCAAGAATCAACAGCTGATCGCGTGTGGAGCCGAAGGCCGCCTTGCGGAGCCATATGGCTGGGCAAGCGTGAGAAAATATCATGCAAAATCCGACGGAATCTTTCCGCTAATTCGATTGATGAATTGAGAGCCTCACGGCTTGATAATATGTCAGACGATAACTTTTCGTGATTCTTTTCGAGGAGACAACAGCACAAGATGTGCAGAATGAGGTCACAGAAATAAAAAAATAACAAAATTAGACTATATAGTGAAACTTCTTCGCAAGACCTAAGGAAAGATTATGAGAAGGTTCAAAAGAAGATTAAGATGTATTGCGCTTGACCCTAAATTGCTCACACATTCAGATTAATAATAATTTCACAGTTCTGGCTAGATTAAAATCAAATTTTAAAATGTGTGCGGAGGATAAGTTATAAAATTAGGCTTATAGACCGATTATATTGTTAAACGAGAATTCAAACCAGAGCTAATTAAGAATGGAAGAAACGATAGCAAAAATCATGACAAATTGAAGTGGCAATATATTAAAATAAACTTGCTAGTTATAAAAACGCTCTTCCTATGTTTTAAAAATAGAAACTCATCGAATTAAATTCATGTATATTGAAAAATGTTACTCTTCTGTTTCATAGTCAGTGCAGTCCTGAGTCTAGAACCTAAAGTTGGATTTGGAAAATCCATTCGACACAAAAGTTTCTCCTGCTCAAAAACTAAAAATACCGAAATAAGAAGCGAATACAAGGATATTTATAATAGTCATACTCGGATTTTGAAGCAAAATTTCTATATTGATTCCACTCACACTTGACTTTAAATGTGGGGGAAAACAGCTTAACTTAATAAGTTTAAAATCACAAGTATGAAGAAGAAGATCTTTGGGTTCTGATATAATAGGTTTAAATTTTAAGCTAAAACCTAGTTTTAATCTTTTGAATGAAGTGAAAGAAGACACAAAATAATAAATAATAAAAATAGAAAACAGCGAAAACGGTAAAAGAATAAAAAATACAAGAAGACTATAAAATGGTCTTATGGCAAATAAATTCATTAAAAAACTATGAAATTTAGTAGATATGAAGAAAAATTGGGTTTCGAAGAATTCCTTTATTGTGATACTCCTTTCCATTTCGAAGACGAAGTTGATTGAAAGGAATTCGTGAAATGGTCTCACTGAAAACCGAGGTAGGATTGCTGCGAAGTGAAGACTTGGATTTTTCGAAGAAGTCTTCGGCTCACTGACCTGCGACCCCGATGAACATGTGCTAAACTTTCGCCTGTATTGTGAAAGGTATCAACAAAGCAGGAATCAATACTCTACGAAGTGGCTCGAAAAATATATACCTTTTCTCTAGGTATATCATATTTTTTGCGCAATTTCGTAAAGTATGGATGATTACTCTGATGATATCTGAAATAACAGGAAAGATAAAAGCTTAGCACAGGTATATCGGGGTCGCTGACAGTGAGCTTTTTCGCAAAATCCAGGTATTCACTTAGCAACAATCCTCTTTTGGTTTGCGGTGGGATCATAACAGGAATTCCTTCCAACTTTCCCTTTGAAATGGAAAATCATGTCAAGATGTAACTTTGTGCCATAAACAGTGATCCAATTTCAACTGGGATAATAGTCAGGTTGGAAACCATTAGGGATACTTACACGATCTATTGAGACAAGAAAGTGCTCCATTTCTGTTAGCCGCCTCTGCAAAACAAAAATATCGCTTGTATGTGTGCTTTGCATTTCTGAAATACGTCCGTCTGCCTCTCCAATTTCCTTTCCTTCCAGCTGCTGCTTGCTAGATGCCTTGCGCATACCTATATAGGCCGCCAGAAGATCTTTAAGAACTGCTTCACAAGCAGTTGACTCGGCCTGCAATGCAGCCGAAAACTGATCGGCGGCAGCGAGCACAGAACGCGGTAGACACACAGGAGCGACGGCGATGTTTGATATTGGCTTACTTATGCAGTCTGTAGTAGTGGTAGTTACAGTTTCACTGCTGGTACTATTGCAAGAAAATGCAATTGATGATGAATTAGCAATGCTCGGTTTGGAGGGTGATGAGATCTTTGCTATTGCAGTCGTAGCCTGTGGGGGCGATTGTGAC